AAAATCATACGTGTCGCTCTCACAGCGAGTTTAAGACTTGATTTACCGATAATACCCTTAATGAAATTGCTTAATTATTTTATGTGCCATCGATTGTTTTTTTAAAATTAAAAAACGAATTTATATTTATATGGGCCTTATATATTTATTAAAGAAATATATATTCAAGATTTAGTGGTAATATTCCATTATAAAGTTTTTGAATGGAAATCTTCCATATTTAGATATAGCCGAATTTATGGGTGAAAATCTTTCATAAATATATATATTTATATATATAAATTATGTACGGAAATCTTCCATAATTACCTATATATAATTATGAAAAATCTTCCATAATTATCTATATATTTTTTGTAAGTTAAATATATTGAAATCGACCTAATTACATGACATGCTATTATTTGAGATTTATGCTATTATTTTTTACCAAAATACTATTATTTCGTTTGATTTATGCTAATTTGATTTGGGCCTAATTTTAATTGATTTTGGTTGTATGGTCTATATGTTTTAAATAAAAAATGTTTATTTTAGGATATACTCGAAATTAATGGTAATTTTTCATTATTATCTTATCGTATATATAAAATATTCTTTATTTTGTTTATTCGATTAGATATTATCGTATATAAGTGAAAACCTAGCTGTCCAAGAGACTTTTGCTTATGCAGCTGGATGGTTTTGATTAAAGTATGTTACGCTTACTCTAAGGGAGACGGTATTCGTATACACGTGTTTGAATTTAATGCTTTTAGAAAAATAATAATGTTTACATCATCGTAACAAAATTATGAGTAGTGTATTTAGAGTCAAGGATTCAAAGTACTAATTGGAACTCTTAAGTTTGTCTCAGATTAAAAGTGGTGAATCTATGGAGGTTGATTATAAAGTCGTAGAAAAAAAAAGATAAGCACGAGCAAGATATAAATGCTGATATAAAGTTGTATGAGGGAGTGGCGTTATGTGGTCATGAAAGCACATCCCAAAACTAACCGAATAATACACACTTAACACACCAAAACTAACCCTATTACTTTTACTATATCTGAACTGTATCGAACTATAGTTTTGTTTAGTTTGTGAGGGTTAAGGCTCCCATACTTAGGGTTTCGTTCCTTTTAATTTGCAAAAAAAAAAAAACAAAATGATCTCTTGATATATTTTTGAGTATAGTTTTAATTGTTTAGTCTCATATATTTTTCTGATGAA